GCCCTGGGTTGGGGGGCACCTGTGGGACGAAGGGGGGGACAGGTGAGGCCCTCCAGCCAGGCATGCTCCATCTGCAGAGCCTCCTATGCCTCTGTGGACACAGGAAGAGCCTGTGCGGCCGAGAGCAGGAAAACACCCTTGCTTTTTAAAAAGAAAAAATCAAGTGCTGAATGAAGTTGGTTCGAATTCTTTCATAGAAAGTTCAGCTCATTGAAAGCGTAATTTGATAAAAATTCCTTCTTGTACTTGGCCCACAGAGCCAAGTACTAAAATCACCCTGAATAGACAAAGGGTGTTTTATGAATGACATTCATGATTAAGATGCATAGCTTTTGTCTCACTGCCCTGGTATTCTTTTCGCTCCATGGGAAAGTTGATCTCTAACAAGAGATCTTCAATTGTCCCTCTTATTATTTTGGTTGAAGGTTTTCCTGGGTGAAGAGTTCCTACCAGCCCAACAACCTGAGTCTCCAGCCAGCAATTAACGCCCTTTTCCCTTGACCGGTGAAATTCAAATCCCGTATGGATGCCTCCATCTTCCGATTCTTTTTTCCTCCCAAGACACGTGTGTGCACAGGCAATACCCCCAGCTGTTTATGTAAGCACAGTGATGAACCTACAATAACAGTGTCCGTTGTGCCCCGAGTACCCTCATGCTCACGGGAACACCTTTTCCTGTCTCACCCAGCCTTACCCAGCGGGAGGGGGGGTCAGAACCATTGGAAGTTTCCAAATAAGGTAGCAACCCATCCATCTGCTTTGGAATTTGTGTGTAGGTGTTATTCTTTCAAGAGCTAGGCCAAACTTTATATTAACCACGAGAAGATGTGATAAATCAATTTTACCTTCAGGTTCTCAAGTTTAAGAACAAGCAAGAACTGAAGAGATGTTTATTGGTTTGAAAGTGCTAACTGGGAACCACTTTCCTCTTCGCACTGAAGACTGATTTCTCTAAAGAAATTATTCCAGTTTATGTATTTTTATGGGATCCCTTTCTTTTAAAATATTTTAGAATTTAGAACTGTTACTGTAATAGTAATAGTCCCAAGATCTTGATAAAAGTGTTTTAAATAAGGGTTTGCAATCTCCTGGTTTTATTTACATTCCAGATAAATGGTGATGAGTTGTTCCATTTATTTTTTGGCCATTAAAAATGTCTTCTTCTTCTGTGACCATTTTTCTCTTATGGTATTCATCTTTTTTATAGTTTTGTATGGTTTTTTTTTTAAAGATTTTATTTATTTATTTATTTGAGAGAGATACAGAGCACAAGAGAGGGGGGAGGGTCAGAGGGAGAAGCAGACTCCCCGCTGAGCCGGGAGCCCGATGCGGGACTCGATCCAGGGACTCCAGGATCATGACCTGAGCTGAAGGCAGTTGCTTAACCAGCTGAGCCACCCAGACGCCCTTGTATGTGTTTTTTATACCTTAGGAATACATTCTTTGTAAGAGCTGCCACAAACACTTTTTTTTTTTTTGATGAGCTGGCATTTGCATCTTTCTTTTGGAAGTCCTGAGTTCATTCGCTAATCAAACATTAAGCTTGTTTTTCCCTTTGATGTCATAGGTACAAACCCTTCCTCAAGCTTATGTGAATATTCACCTAGATTGTCCTTATGGTTTTGTTCTTACACTGAATACTTGTCTTGTGTTTCTTTTGAAGTGTGATGCAAAATGGGGATATAATTTGATTTCCCCCCAAAAGATTGACCAGTTGGTCCCAATAAACCCTCTTTCCTCTGCTGCTTCAAAACTAGCTCTCATTGAGACAAATGTCTTCTTTCAAATACCATGTCACAGTCATGGGAGTGAACTTTCAGCACAAGACCCAGGTCCAATGGCTCGCGCGCTGCCTTCTGCCCTCACTTCCATTCCATCCTCTGCCTGCAGATTCTTTCCAGAACCCACTCCTCAATCTGTGCTCCCCTCACCATCCACTCCCCCTTCCTCTTCAAGTCCACTACCCGCTGCCGAGTGAATTAAGTACCACGGATGTAGGGGTGTAGAGAGTGAGGAGGGAGAGCAGGCTACTTGAACAGAAGTGCATCGAGGTCTTTCCAAGTTGTAGCTTCTACTTAACGTGGGAGGCCCAGCTTTATAACAACCCCCACCCCCACCCCCACCACATAGGGTTTATTTGTTTATTACCTTTTGACTGACTTCATTTCAAAATGGCCCCATGGATGGGTTGCACTGGCATCACTGTCCCCTTTATCAGATTAGGAAAGTGAGGCCGACAAAGATCTCTCCTTGACCAAATTCTAGCTGGGCTTCTCTGTCCATCCTTGCAAGGGTCTGGTTTCGGCAAGAACCCTGCTAAGTCAGTTGAGAGAGAATGCTCCTGCCTGACCAAGTTCCCCATCCCCCACCTTTGATGTCCAAGTGGTAGGCCTGCCTTTAG